TCATGAAGGGAGACAAGCTTGGGAGACAAGCCGGCAGCGGCAGCCAAAAGCGAAATCATGAAGGGAGACAAGCTTGGGAAACAAGGCGGCACCGGCAGCCAATTTCCGCAATCCGGAACCCATCCATTGAGAAGTAAGAACCCCTATAGCTTCCAGCTATCTGGGAATGAATAGAAATGCTACATGGCCAGCGGAAAAGGGCGGACACCTTTTTGTGACAGACCTGGGAGACAAATGAATAGGCATGCTACATGGCCAGCGGAAAAGGGCGGACACCAGCAGTGACACAAAGGGCGGACATATCTTAAGAAAGAATTGAGAACCCTAACAGTAAACTGTTTGGGGAATCAATTTCCCGCAGTAGCTATTGGGGGCCTAAATTCTCGAGGGAACTGCGCTCTCTTTAGCTAACTCCTGTCGAGACAGCTGCGCCCGAGGCTAGCTCGAGAACGGCTCCCAAGAACCGCGAGTTTGTGCACGATGGCAGCTCACATCACCCCAGTGGGTGATTTGGATTCGATGAAGTCTCAAATAGGTTTCATCGTGAGTATGTGGGGGAAGGTACCTGCCATCTTTAGAGCCACCCGAAAGTGCTCGACGGTGTTGCCAGAACCGGCATGCACCCTATTCACACTGGCAAGAGTTATTTGGTGGAACTGCCAAAAAATGTCAAAGCCCAGAACCTCCTAGGTTCACAACCTCCAATAATGTCAGGAGCACAGACGACACCGTCAATAAATGCAAAATTCAGCCACCCCCGAAAACCTGCAACAGCCTGTACGAGTAGAGTGACAGCTTGATAAAACAATTCAAACGGGCAGTTCAAACTGGCAGGTACGCAGCTACACAGTGCAACAGATGCGTCTTCGTTGGCTGGTGTGCACACACATACACAAACATGAGAGCACACATGCACCAAACATTTAGCTTGACACGCAATCTGCAATTAGAGATTTGAAATGTCTGTGCCTGACAGGAGCGCACATACACAATATCTTGCGAGATCAATTTGAGATTCACAAAGTGCTGTGCCTGCCACGAAATCTCAATATTCAGGCGTGCCTGCCACGAAAGTGCGATGGGAATATACTACTTTGTTTGATCCTGTTGTTTTGGAAATTTTGTTGGGTGTGTTTTTGGATGTCGATCCCTTTCTTACTTTTTCCCCGCTTATTGGGGGATAGCGACGTCCATGTTCAAAGGCGAACCTACCTGCGGTAGGTTTTGGGGCGCATTCGCACAGAAATACGTCCAACTCCCTTCTCCACGAGCCACCTGACCCGGAGTTTCCCTCGCCAAGCTTCTCGCTCGTCGTCAAGAAGCTCGTCTCATTGTTCTCAGCCTTTGCCCCGCAAACCCGCACACTTGTGGGCACAAAAATCTTGGCTAAGTCCTTGTTCAGCTATCTACACTGAAGGCCAAGAGATTCATCAAGACAGCTGAAGCAAACTAGGAGTGTTGTCTGAGCAAACACATCAGCACCGGTTATTCAATTGCATGGCATGACCTGTCTATTGAAATGCTTCCGTTACAAGCACGTGTACCGTGTATGTGTGCATTAATTCAAGCGCGACACATGACGCACAGCTAGCTGCCGGCCCACCGGGAAGGCAATCTGCTGTCCAGTACTGTCAGCAAAAAGCGCAGCTTCGCGAAGTGGAGAGCCACAAAGGGAACCAAAAACATGCCTTGAAGCCACGCGTTGAGAGGCTGAGACGGCTTTCTTTTTTCTACTCTTCTCTTGCTGGGGCAAGAATGGCGCATTCACCTCTCCGATTCCCCATATCGTATGGTTCAGATTGTTTCCGCATATGGGCATCCTGTGTCTGGCATGTGGCAAAAGACATTTGCTTGCGTGGGCTGCCTCCGGCCACCTGCCAATTCCAATACATGCTAGTACTGAAGCCACTTCATTGCACCGACGAAGGATCTATCTAGCTGCCTCGACAACATGCCCCACCAAAACGTGCCCACAGGACCAAGGCTCACCCACAAGGAATACCAGACCGTTGGTGAACTCACAGCCCAGGAAAAAACAAGATGGAGCCCACGAACCCGAATGCAAACACGTTCGAAAAGCTACGTATGTCCAAATGACACTCTTGTAGGACACTCTTGTGGGACACTCTTGTGGGTCACTCTTGTAGGAAACTCTTGTGGGACACTCTTACGGGACACTCTTGGGGGACACTCTTGTGGGACACTCTTGTGGGACACTCTAGTAGGAAACTCTTGCAGGACACTCTTGTAGGACACTCTTGTGGGA